CTTTTTGTGGGCATAGAAACTGGCCTACAGCATCAAACTTGTATCCCTTCTTTACCCTAATGTCAATTTCACAAATCTCAAAAAAGACAAATCAGTCTGACATATTAAAATTGCACACATGTTCCTAATACACACAGATATGTCTTTTTGTACTATCCTAAACTTACAACTCTACAGTCATTCAGACCTGTTTTTACTCTTTGATTTGTGTCAATTCTAAACTGACCTAAAAGGAAAAATCAGAACAGCACCTGAGAAGACAGAGGTGAGCAGCACATCCACCACCTGCATAAAAGGACCTCACCTCCCACATATACAGGTGTGTGACCTCTGCAGTGAACTGAAAGAAAGCAGCACACCTACTTTCAAAGTAGAATCTCTTCATAACAGAAAGGTGTCAAGATTGGAACTGCAGGAAAGAATGAAAATTTCAGAAAGCTAAAAATTCTTTGTCTGCTCCCTATCGTCCCAATGTGGTTACAATACTGTCCAGAAGTGAAATTTTGGACAACAGAAGAATTAGGAAGACTGCTATTTCAGGAGGTAAGTATCATCTCTGCTTTATGTGTTGCCTTTTTCCCAAGTTAGAAATGAAACTCAAGATAATTTTAGTACGGAGGTAATATAAAAGAGAATCTTTATTTGAAGGCCTTCAGGGACAGTTATGGAAAGATGTGCACAAAAACTCACCTCTACAGGGATGAGTACATTTTAACAGGTTTTAGGAAATTAGCATAATTGATAAAAAGCACCAATTAGGAGGACAAGTGATGAGTCAATTTCCCCCCCAGGTCAAGCCCCTTCTCTGGAGTCCCCTGTCAGCACTGGCTGGACTCTGTCTATGGAATGTACCTCCAAGAGTTGTTCTCAGCCTTGGCACCCAGGAAGAGCCAAGATAACATGGGCCCTTATACCCCCAGGGGCTTGGAGCTCTGGAATTTGTTTTCCCTTTCTGCTTAGGGAAAGACCATGGAAAATTACTGGGAAAACTAGTCACTAATAAAATATGCTACAGACCTACAAACTTGCAAAGAATACAGAGAACAAAGAGACAGGTAAAACCCAAAATGGCATTGTATGGGGTTCCCTAAAATCTTCAATCCAGCATCCTTTCCCAAAAAGTTTATCAACAGTTTCATCAAAACATCCTTTAGAAAACTTCTTTCCAATACAATTCTTGAAAAATTCTGTTTCAAGTTTACTAAACTGCCCTAGAAGTCTGCTTGTAACAGTTCATTAACTGTTACTGGATTTTATCTTACTGCTAGTTAACGACAGAGGTGGCATATACCTCACTATTCTTATAAATGTGAGGATCTCAGATTAGGAGATCTTTAAAATGGCTATCATTCTATCAAATGTCAGAAACTCTTTTATTTCTCATTAATTGGAAAAGAAATTTTCCAACTATTTAAAAATGTGCAAAAAGACAATTCTGACACAGTATGAGTAGTTGCAATTCTATGCAAAACATGAAGCCTATATTGGGTCTAAAATAAGTCATCTTAGGCCTGATTCCCATCAGTAGAGTCCCTCACAGGTTTAGTCAACATGGTAGGTACAGAGTTTATTCAGTTTCTTCAAGTGGTTCACATTGTTCTTCTGCCAGTATTAACAGGGCCATAAATGTACACAAAAAATTTAATTCTTTACCCCACATCCATTAAATGTCTCAAAGGACTCCAGGCCACCTCCTCACATATGTAAGTAAAAGCTAAAGAATAAAAAGCAAGGACTGATTTTATCTCAAGGTTATGGAAACATCATTAAACCATAAAACCACGCTGTCAAAAATTTATCTTGACATTAGAAAATGTCTCAGTGGAGTTAAAGCCTTACCACATAATTAGCTGCAGATAATTCTATTTAATTCTGAGGATCAGAATTTTAAAACAGTCACAACCTTGATAAATGGCACGTTAAATAAACTGAAGCTTGCAAAAAGTGATCAGATAACAAAAATGAGAAAATTCAACACCAGCTCAAAGGACAGTTGATACAAAAGCAAATTGTCTAGTAAGGACAGGGAAACACTGTCAGAAAGAAAGGTACATAACCCTTCTGAAACACCTCCTCAACTGGTATTTTCCACAGACCTCATGCAAACTAAAAACACACTGGGGTGAAATTCTGGCCCCATGAAAAGAAATGGCAAAATTTTCTTTGATTTTCAATGGCAGTTTCTACAAGCGTGCACTCAGGGGGATTCTTTGCCTAATAAGATCACAAGCAAGTGAATAAAACTATAATTAATTTTCACTAAGACAAGAGCAGTGGACAGCAGAGAAGGAGGACTCTTTAAAACAGCTTCCAAAAAGCTCTTTTGACCTAAATCAGGTTGGAGATTTTCCAAGAACCATCTGGAATTTAGTCACCTCACCACAGGATAATTTTTCTCTTTTGTCTGGCAGTCTGTTTATTTTCCTTCTTGAGGATCCAGCATCAAACAGAATAAAAAATGACCTTTGACTGGATCTTGTGGCATGCAATGAAAGAACTGATCCAAAAAAGTTCAATGTTCGAATAAGCACCTACTGAACTTGAAAGGAATGTTGGAAGTAGTTGGGAAAACAAGATTACATCTTGAAGTTATGTATCTGTAGTATTTCTTTATTCTATGACCACACAGGCAAGTCATCACAGCTGGTCTTCTTTCGAGTTATACTACAGAGAAGAGACTGCAAAAGCCTTATCAGAGACTTTACAGTTCCAAAGTCTTAAATTTTACCTGCTGAGAATAAGCATCCCTATTCAGCTTTAAAAAGAAAGAATTTGCACGGACATGCAGCTTAGCTTCCAAAGAATATTCCATGGGAATGGCAGAAAATGTCTGCTGCTACCTCCCTAGGGATGGGGGAATACTAAATTAATATTTTAATACAATATCACACTCATAACAAACTTGTTTGACAACCAAATTGGGAAAGCTGCAAAATGCCACATGGAAAATCAGACAGTGACAACAAGCTTGACAGTTGTGCTTGACTGAACTGTGAACAAGATACTAACTTTACTCATGTAAAGCACATGGCTGTTGACTGCTCTTTTTTCCCAACCACTCACCTGTCCAGTCAGATTCTCCTATCCCTTCTGCCAGTTCTTTTTAGCATTAATGATATCAAGTACGTGTACATGACAGGTCTATGTCATTTGCTCTCCATTTTCTCAGAGCAGATTATCACACAGACTAAGCAAAACCAGCAAAAGAAGGAAATGAGCCCTAGTTGAATGGACAAAAAAAACCCCAAAACGAAAACAACAATTTTAAAACTCAGCACTTTGCACTATATTGACTAGGGTGGAGAAAAATTCACAGTCAACATATGGAATACACTGAGTTAAAAATATCTTTGTGATACCAAAGCTACAGTGGGGCAAATGTTATTAACAGGAGCATTCCCAGTTCTCCCATTAACAAGATATGGAGATGGGAAATTTTGGCTTTCCCTCTGCCCTTGATGGTCACTTACATCACCTTGGTAAAATACATGGGAGAGGAGTGGAGGTGCACATATGTGCACATGCTTGCGCATGTGTGTACATAAAAAAATTAAAAACCTTCTTTAAAAACCTTCTGCATTTTCATCACCAGTGTTTCAATGTGTTTAGTAAACATCACACTGTTTCTGTAAAGCCACATGGCCATTTTCCATCTTAAGCTTATTATTACGTACAAGGCAACAACATTCGGAAAGAATTTCTTACAAACTGCAACTCAGTTCAAACTGAGTAGGTAGTGATCATCCTCTGATAATCAGTTTTATCTTCAGCTGCACAAATTCTCTATCCCAGATAACACAGTGTGCATGTTTCACGTGAAATGACAAAGTTCAGGCCAAAGCAGCATGCCAACACCAGACAATAAGACAGCTTGAGTGGAGACGAGGGAGTACTCAAGGGGTTTTATCTATGCACCCTTGGACTGGGTCTATTTCAGACTATGTGATTTTTCAGGTAAAATTGCAACTTTACATCCTAGCAGTATAATCACCAATGGAAAAAAAACCCAGAAAAACAAAACAGTTGATTATATTGCTCCTACTCCTGTTTACCAGAAAAAAAAAAGACTCTGTAAGTGAAATCTGCAAACAGATTTGTCTTAAATGTTAAAAAAAATAATAGCATTTTTAATTTCACTTCCCTCAAAGAGGGTCTTTCTTTTAGTTATATCAGAAGAAAAAAAATGTTATCCTTTGTCTTACTTCGTAAGGACATACTTACTAAAACAACCAAAACATAAATAAGTTGAAATAACTCTTATGGTAGAATTTATCAATCAATTAGAAATCAAAAAAAAAAATTAAATTTGTTTAAAACTATGAGTATTCTTCGTAAAAAATATTTCTGCTCTTCATATAAAATATTTCTGCTAGCATTGTTTGAATTTAGTTTCCTGGATTAAAAATGAGAAAATATATACACCAAAAGCCAACAATATTTAGTTAGTAACACAATAACATTTTACATAGTGTAGAATCTAATTTTAAATACTTTATATGCAGTCTTTCAGAATAAATAATCCACAGGTCTCTGGAAAAAGCAGCTTGTAGGATACATTACTATCATAAACAGCATATACCTCTAAATGACAAAATGGGATGGGAGTGTATCTGCAAATATATTACACTATGCAGAAAAATTCTAGGCTGAAGAATGATATTATATGCTCCTTATCACTGTAAAAAATTACTCAGGTTGATGGACTCAATTATATTTGAACTTTCTTGGTTTTTTTCTCACTCAACAACTTTAACATGATAATTTTTAAAAAGGAAAAGAAAAAAATAACCTCTGGCTAGTGCTTTAATTTTGAAGTGCTGCAATTATATTAAAGTTATACTTCTGCTTAAATACTGACTGAATAAAAAGAAATAGTTTGAATTCACTTTGTCATATATCACATTCTGAATGCATCTACTGAACTCCCACTCAGAAATAAATCGTGAGCACAAGAAAAAGATAATTTATGAGTTGTCAAGCAACAGATTTTTAACACTTACTTTTGTGAAGATCTGAAAAAAGTCAATTGCAGGTGGCAATTGAGACTCATCCCGGATCTCAGTTTTCAAATACAGTTGCAAAGTCTGTGCAAGGTGCCTGAGGCCATCTTTCATTTCTTCACTTAACCGTTCAGCATCTTATGGGGAAAGGGAAAAAAAGTAGACCAGGTCACAAACAGAACATTTCACCAACATTTTGAAAACATCCAACGGCAGCCACACAGTCTAGACATTTCCAGTCCAGGAATTAATCTTGATAGAGGGCAATTTTGACAGAGGGCAGACATTTCTCATTTTTTGTGACAGTTACCTATCAACACACAGTAGAGTTTATCAGGTTGCTACTGCCAAATAATATGATACGACAGCAAGTTAGAGATCAAAAGCCAATAGATAAAGCAGATGTGTAAGCAGATGTAAGACATTACATACAAAAATTAGGCATCTGGGTTTGTAACATTAACCACATTAGAAAAATGCTTGGAACTTTATGCAGCAGTACATACTTTTATACTGGTATTCTCCATACATGTGTCAGAAACACTTTATGCTAGCAGATGAAACAGGAAAGTATTTTTGAACAAAAAGAGTTTCATAAAGAGCAACTGGTAAACAATGAATATGAAAGAATATCAAGTAAATATCACTTTATTATAAAGCACCATTATTCATGTTTTACAGATAGAATCACAGTGCCTCATTTTCTAATTCAGTGATTATGCATGCATCAGGTCTCTGATAACACAGAAAGTGAAACTGCTGCTGCTCTAGCAAGTTCACTGCCTACCTACCTGCTTCACACTTTGTTTCTCCTACTAGCTAGTACAGAATGGAGAATGTGAAGCTGAACGTATTCAAGCTCCAGTCTATAACAAAAGGCAGAGATTTATGATGCACTATGAATCCATTTTATCACTGCATAATGGTGAATTGGTATTTTATTATAAACATCTATAGATGCTCACAGCACTACCCAAATGCAACTAACAGTGTGGATGTCTGCAGGTGATTTTGCAGGCATGAGTGAATGTAAATGTTAGAAATCCAGACGTTTTTCACAAAATACAGAAAATCTCTGGTACAGAAAAGCATAGTATCTATGAGGACTGTGTCTTCAAGAGAAGCAGCAAACTTTTAGATGACTGAAGCAATCAATTTTAAAAATGAAGAAAAATTATAAACACACACTTGCATTTCTTATATTACATTCCTTTGAGAACAAAAATGCTTTTACTTCAAATGTAATTATTCAAGACAACATGTGATTAACTTACACTATCTATAATACATTGCAAAAATGTATTATAACAAAGAGAGGAAGGCATGGTTTGTTTCACTATTGGAAATAAAACAACCCTAGAGTAAAGAAGAGATATCACATAAGAAGCATTTTACAAATGGACACTGTAGCTTAGGACAGATGTGAACATGAATACCAAAACCAACTGGAACTTCAGGGAGAACTGATAGAGATGGAAGCAGAATGCAATTATCCACACTGGAATCTGTCCAGGACATCAGAGCTAATGATTCAGAAAAAGATCCCATGGGAACCTTAATAGAAAATGATCAAGACACAGTTTTCCAAGCACATAAGAAAACAAGGCCAAAAGCAAAATGAAATGAAATTTGTGAATGCTTTCAATTTTTGTTTTTAAGAAACTTTTCAATTGTTTAAGAAACTTGGTGTGAGAGACAAAATGCTATAAAAGGCCTATGAAAAAAATTCTAAATAAAGCAGGGGGGGTTAATTATGTAACTCTGATACTTATTCAAGCAGCAAAACATCTTCCCCATAATACAGCACACAAACTATTTTCTGAACACTGAGTCTTGGTAAGTAAAAACAAATTATTTCTGAATTACTGTAACATACAGAAAGCCCAGAGAACTAAGGAAGGGAGGAATAGTCTTATGATAAATGAGAACTAGCAAAAGTAACAATGCTTAGAGAGACTCTTCCTACTTAACCTGAGTTTCAGGGCATATAAAGGAATTTCAAGGAACTATGGACGTTGGAAAAGAACTTCATAAAGGGCTGGATGCCTCCACATGCTTTGTGGTTTTTCATGTATTATACGTTTTAGCAGAAAATTATTTAATAAGTGTATAAAACTTTATATGCTTCTATTCAGTTTATATGTCTCCCACACTAAAAATCAACCAACAGCATAAAAAAAAATAATGTTGAAAATTAATAGTGTAAAGCAAAATGAGACAGCACAGTGTCAATAACAATTTTCAAAAATGAAATATTTTGGAATTACAAGTGGCGGGAAAAAAAACAAAAAAAGATAAAAAGAGTATCAATGAGAATTCTGTCACATTTCTGATCAGTGTTGAAACATTATCTTCTATTAAAAAGATGCTTCCTGAGAATATTTTTGTTTCAGATTGTAGTCTGTATTCATAGTTCATGTGATTCTGTTCAAAGAAATCTTTTCTCCTATATACTTAGGCCTCTAATGAAAATGCATTTCTGATTTTCCTATAGTACACAAAGAAACAAAAGCTTTATCAATACCATTCATAAATTATGCAGCAAATGGGGAAATTGTTATGAAATAACAGGAGCTTCTGGAGCATACAGAGGCAGCAAAAACCATCACAGCTACTACAAGTTCTCATGCCAACCCAAAACACTTTTGGATTATTTTAATTTCAAAACCATAGAGACCACCTATTCACTCTAATGAAGGAGCCAGGAAAACAGCACAAGTAAAGACTCTGTCAAAACCTTTACATAAAATTATGCATAGGCCATTTGTACTGTAGTTTGAAGTATCAACTTGTGTAAATGTCCTAAACACTGGTGCTGTGGACCTAAGAAGATTCCACAAGAATTGTTACTAAGACTCAGAGCAAGTACAGATGAAACACTACATATGGATGTCTCATTTTTCTTCTCCTAAACTGACTGGCTATGTACCAGCTGTTTCTGTATCAGTGAGAGGACAGTCATCCCATCTGTAGCACAGGCCATATCATAATTTCCTTCAGAGTGAGAATTTCAGCAGGAGCTTCTGGCCACTCTACAGACTTTTGTACCATTTACCCTTGGCAGTTCAGGCCTGTTCAACACCAAGCTTCTCTCCAGACAACTTATCACACCATTCCCCTTGTCTCCAGCCAAGTCCAGGAAAGCTGAGATCATCTCCTGAAGGGTACTGAGAAACCTTAGTTTGTATGGAACGATCAGTTGCATAAAAATCTTTGCCTACACTAGAGACAACTTCTGTACAAGTGATCAATATTTAATTTTTAAAGGGAGACTCTTCCATCCAGTTCCTCCTGTGCCACTCTGCAATCAGCCATTGGTACAATAAAGACTCTTTCCTTGGATCCCAGGAGTGTAATGAAGCATAAAAGTCCATACTCTACATCATCTTAACTTAATTTGAAGAATCTGTTTTCCATAAACCTTTGTTACACGAATTGAGAATATCTATTGTAGAAAACCACTATATTTTAAATAACTGAAATCTATCCATTTTAATTTGCTGCCTTATTAAGGTCTTTTGCCCTTATAATTTGGGAGAAGGAAACAGAGTGTCAGGGTGTTCAGAAGTAAAATTAATACTATGTATTGCAAATTTTATGTTTATACAGATTTTATTTTTAACTATACCAATTGATCAAGCTGGTTCATAGCCACAAGTCTGAATAATACTAAAAAATATTGAGGTAATCAAAATATTCACATTACTCTCCAGAAAATCCCTCTAAACAAGATGCAAAAATGAACCAAGGATGTATTTCATCCTAAGTCTTCAAGATGCCAAAAAACATGAAAAAAAAAAGTTTCCTATTTCAACATTTCCTCTGCTGAGAGATTGTAATGAGCTTCTTTTTCTACCCAAGCAGTTGAATCTTGTGAAGCCACAAAAGTAATAACTGCACAACTTCATCTTTTTTCCCTATTGAAAGGTCATGTAGAAGAAAAATATACACATATCCCTTTTACATTTAACGTTCCTATTTCTGGAAGATATTTTAAAGCTTTATGCAATAGCACATAAGTATTAAAAAAGTAAAACCTCAATGTAAAAATATATGTACTATTGTATATGTATGTAGAAATATTGACACTGTATGTAGTAAGATAAACATTGGGTAAATTAGAAAATGAGCAGGCAAGATGTTAATTGTAAAACGCAAAACTAAAAATACTAAAGCAAAAAATCAAGTGAAGGTTTTGCTTCAGGACAACAGACATGTTTCCTTTTATCTTTGAAATAACTGTTCTTTCATATAAAGGCTTTTGTCTTTGATTCTGTTCCTCTACAGAGCAAACCTTCAGAAGGGAAGCTGCAAGAAAATCAGATGGCCCTTTCGTAAAGCAGACCTTGGAAGTACTTCCTGAAATCTGGCTGGCAATTACTTACTTGACTGAAGATCAGAAAAAGAGTAGAGTCTCTCAGAAGGGCACACTGATTGTCTGAGCTGTAGAGGAAAAACAGATAAAACATGCTATGTAAGTGTTAATTATCTTGAAAACACTCTACAAGACTGATTATTCCATGGGATAAACGTGTAAGATAATTAGGTAAGGCCAACAGTATAAAAATAAATTCCAGGACATTGCATAATCTATCCTAAAAAAATAATTTTTTGTTGTTGTTATAAGACTTTATACTAATTTCCTTTTTTTTACACTTTGGCAGCTTACCTTTAGTAATTTACTTTAGCCCTTCAGAGCATAATTGAAATCAGTTTATGAGGTTTGTAGTTTCAGAGTTCATGTGACTATAATTAATGCACAGTATTACTAGGTACATATTTGCCCTTTAAAAGCTATCATGCACAAGCTCTTCACAACAATGTATAAAATAAATGTGAAATCATATTTTATCACCTCAGACCACAACCAAGGCCCACACATTTACCCAACACAGATATCATCATAGCAGGTTCAGCAAAAAAATGAGCAAATCCCTTTTGATTTATAATCCCACACAATTATAAGCTGTTTAAACTAACAAAAAATTTAGTCCATATAATCAAACCGTGGGAATGTCAAAACACCCAGGACTTCCAAGAGAGCTTAGAAAAATATTTTAAAAGGTAATTGAAATTAAGAGAACCCAACATGGAAAGCATGGCATTATGCCCTTTAAAGAAAGGGCTAGCTACCAGTGCTTCTGTCCTTACCACTCATTCAAATATCACCAAATGAGGCTTACATTAGGTTAATAGAAAAGCACCAATAATATCATTAGTATTGAAGGGAAAACAGTGTCTCCCTATGTTTTCCTTCCAGGCAGGAATAAGCTTAGAATGCTAGCACATAGCCATAGGAACATAAAGTCAATAAACATGTCCCTTGAGCTTAGTTATGGCCATTTTGGAATCTCTTGATCCCCCTCAGCATTTCTGTAAATTAATCAGTCAACTTGTAATGCAATTTGCAGTCTAATTTTTTTCAGCATTCCCAGTCACTTCAGCCTTGTAGCTCATAATTACATTAAAACTGTAGAGTAAGAAAGCATTTATCAGAAATTGATGCACTGAATCAATCTAAAAGAACATCACTTACTAGTTTAAAAACAATCCTGCCAGCAAGTCTGACGGAGTCTGGAGGAAAATTGGGCTCGATGCTCTTAAGACACCTGCATTCCTGCTTGTGGTCCAGCCAAGCTTCTTTCTATCAGGATATTTTAAAAAGGAAGAAAAAGAAAATCAAGTCCATTTTATTTTACATAATCCGTATCCTACTTTTTATATGTACATACATATTTTATATTTATCTACAGTTATATATGCACACAAACACGCTCAAAACCAATATGCCCTGATTGTCATTTGTGGCATGAAGCAGCAAGAGTATGTAGCTGCTTACTTCCCAAGACTGGAGAGAACTAAAAAGGATGCTACACACAAAACTCTAGGCACGTGTTCACTCAGCAACCAAGACTGCAGAGGCCTTCAGAGTCCATTCACTGCACTAAATGCAGTTGCTCTAATGCAATGGCCAAGTTTTCAGTGCTGCAAAAACTGTCCCCAAATATCCCTGAGCTGATGAGGAATCAATGTCCACAGCTGGGACAACTGGTAGTGATATTTTTCACAGTTCAGACCAGGAATGGTCACTGATTCCAAAACAGAAGACAGAACCAAAAATATTTCAGTTGCATGTACTACCCAAACCTGAAATTTTGTTTCATGGGCCACTTTTATTAGAATGGCAGAGACAGACTAACACTTCCATAGCAGAGAAAAGTCAGGATGACAAGATAAAGGAAACATTGAAATATGTCTTTTTTTCTCTACCATTCATTGTTGCCCCAAGATTAGTGCAGAAGAGCAGCAAGAATGAGTCTTCAGCTAAAGAAACATGATGGAAGAAAATTTCTGATCACTTTTTTTTCCTGCCTTCTGTCTCCACAAGCAGAAAATTCTGTTTATAATACACACAAACTCCAAGTCCATTCATTAACATACTACATATTTACACATTTTATTTGCATATTCACAGTTTATGTTTGAAGTCACACAGCTGTTTCAAATAGTTTTAAAAGCAAATTAAAAGATCAGGGCACAACAAAAATTTGCTACAATGACACGTACTCAGAGCCAAGGGGTTCTGAAGGTGACATTTTCTCACAAACATGTAGTAAGGGAAAAAAAGGAGAACCCAGGAAAACAGTTTCTGTTAGATGAGTTCCACAGAGAAAATGATTGTCTAAGTACATGTTCAGCAATTAAAAAAAATAGAAAATGGCAGAGCTATGTGTAAGGGCACATCAGACCTGGAGATGCTGACATGTGAGTTATAAAGATTCCAAAGGCAATCACACAGTTTTTTCTTAAGCTGCATTTAAGTGAAGGAATTGTTTCAGGTAACTAGGTTTCAGCATCAGTAGCATTTATTATATTTAATTCAGGATTTTTTTCCCCTGTGACTTACAAGTAATAAATAAATGGATTTTTTTATTTCTTTCAGATAGATGAGAGATTTGTGATTTCATTTCTTTTACCCATAACTCTACAAGAGGAAAAAATGACACCAAGAAGGCATTAATCCAAATACAGTTAGTGTCACATGCTGTCTGACAAATAAAAGTTAAGTATTTAGTGCTGAATAGAATTATCCTTGTCTAGAAAAAACAAGGTCATGCTTGTAAACGTCCAGGCATCATTCTGTGCAATATAATTATATTGGCATTTTTATCCAACTTAAACTAAAAATGTTTCTAGGAGTAAGCCTTTATCTGTCAAATTTTTTCCTCTACATAAATGTTGCACAGAATTTTAAACATGCTAGAGGTGACATCAAAATGATTAATAACTACCCAACGACCATAGCTATTATGAGATGAAATATGCTGTACCACATAGCATCATATACCATGTTTCTTTGAGAGCATTCCCATGTGATAAGAATAGTTCAAACACATGCTTTTCATGAAACAGCACTTTGGCCAAAACTGATGCCAAAAAGGAATCGCTCTGATTCCTCTGCAGAAGGAGCTGGAATGGGGATTGCCAGTCACTTATTCTCAAATGGTCAGGGAGAGAGAGCAAAGCTCCAAATGCATTAAATATAATAAAATTCAACAATATTTTTTCTTGCTATCCATACAACATGGATACAAATTACAGGACAATGTGAAAACAAGGATTTGTGACCCTGGAGAAACCTACTTTTAAAGAGAGTCTCTAACAATACTTATTGGTTGGACTAATGTTAGTCCCACATTTCTTGGTGGGAGGGTTTTCTTAATTCTGTGTTTCCTGGCTTTCAGTAAAGGTTTTTATATCCTATATCCAGCATGAGTATAAACACTGTAGTGCAGAGGCACAGGCACCTGGTATGACCCCTCCTCTCCATGCCAGGGAAGGTCTTCCAATTTTGCAAAGATTTCTTTTTCCCCTGTTGGAAATGAACACTAATAGAAGGAGGCAAAGAAGGGCAAGCGAACAGTACAGGGCAACACAAAACACTCCTCTTCAAGGCTTCACTACATTTAGGAATTTGGAAAGAGTATCCTTCTGTCTATCTCCTTCCAAAGCATTGTCTCTCCTTCAACCTCAATGCACCCCAAGGGCAAATCATCAGGCCAGCACCCACATGGCTCCAGAGCTGGTCCAGCACTGAGCTCTGTGCCAGGGGCACACTGGGAGTCTGCCCACTGAACCAGCACCAGACCAGCTCCAACACCTCCCTGCACGACCCAGCCCAGGATTGCTCCTGCTGGCTCAGGTCACAGGCAAACACCCCTCACAAATGCCTGCAATGTCTTGCAATATTTTCAGCTGAGCGACTTTGCCAATGCACATCCATCCTTTCACAGACATATGCTATTGCTGTCTCCCCTTGGAGCCTGAACCTGCAAAAGATCCTAAAGCAATGCTGGTGAAACAAAGGTTTCCCTTTGTCTTCTATGCAAGATCAAAAAAATGAACACTTCCTGCAGATTAATGTGCTAATAAAAAGCTGTTAAAGACTAGAGCTGATTAACCAAAAAAAAAAAGAAATCAAAGCAGGATATTTTTCCATTGGAAGGTTTTGATTGGTTAAAAGCAAATAATCTGTAATTTCCAAGAGACTGAATTTTCACATAATGTCTTTTTATTAAAATTATGACATTTACTTTTATTACATTATTTCAATAATGTTTGATAATATCACATTCTGAATTCTGCCTGAAATTGCTCTTCCATTTTTCAGGGGTTATCATACATATCATTGGTCCCCAATCTATGGGATGCACCATATTAATAAACGTTGCCAGTGGTGATCTCAACAGTGATTATGAGGAGCAGCAGATGTGATAACCCTACCTTTGGAGAGACACCCAGCCAACATAACATTGCTAGGAGGCAGGTAGCCCTTGAAAAGAGGCATCAACAAGTGGAAAAGGGGCTACAGCAGAGAAATGCCAAATAGAGGCAAAAAAACCAATGAGGTCTGACTGAAAGAAAAAAAAATAAAAAGCAAAAACTCTGTATGTACTTGATCCTGAAATCAGAATTTAGTTGCAAAAGGTCATCCTAAAGGAACTCTTGTGATAAGTTCCAGTTCCACATTTCTAATATTTTTTAAATTAAAGTGGTAAAAGTGAAAACAACTTACTTCAACTGGCCTGAAAAAGAAAAATAATGGGAATTTTTGAAATTTGGAACTCACTCATAATCTTTAAATAGACATTATGGAGATTTGTAAAAACTGGATGTTCTGGTTTGTATATAGGTTTTTTGCTGGCTCTGCATACATATTCCCTCAAAGGATAACTATTCTCACTGCAAGATCCAAAAAAGAGAGAAAAGAGAGACATTTGCAAGGACTATTTTTCTCCTTAAGGTTAGCCTGAAGATAGCTTTTTGTACCACTTGACATTTTAAAACAAATCAAGATGTTTGCAAGATATTTGCAGCTTTAAAAATGGCTATTTTTGGTACACTCTGAAATATAAATCCCCTGTTACATTTACATTGAAGTTTCTTTCACAAAATCCACCTTTATTCTAGACCCAGTACACCTACTGAGATTAAATTGTTTTAAATCATATTTTTATATTAATTCTGATTTCATTTAATGTATCCATTACAAAACTCCAGAAAAATAACAGGTTTTAAGCCTACGTGTTTTGAGTTGCACTATCACACATTCAAAAATAATCAAATCATTCTGCAAGTGTGAATTGCAAATTCAGCTGCATAATTTGCAGTCCAAAGTTATCTGTATTTATAAAACTAAAATAAAGCCCTGTTTTGCCAATATTCACCTTTTAAAATGTGCAATATGCAGTTTCATCAATGCCCTGCTGTTTATTTGTTGACCAATTAGTTAAATTAGAAGTGCACATATTCATGAATTGCACTTAAATTACAGAGGCTAAGTAGGGCACAAAGCATTTGGTTTAGCTTTCCTAACAGCTGCTATAAAACCAGAGCAGCACAGTGGTTTAGCCTGCTTATTAGAAGAAATATGAATCAGAGGACAGTTCTCATGAGCAAAGAGATCTGACTGGTCTCAGTTTTATCTGTATCACCTCTTTCAAGTCATCAATCCCAATCAATTCACTGCTTTGACTACAAAAGATGTCTTTTTTCCCCCCATCATTCTCTATTGCTACCTAATATCACAGGATATTACACATATTAATTCAATAGTAATTTATTTATATAAACAGTTCAAATAATTATGTAACTGCAAATACACAGCATGTTAAGTGCAGATTACTTTTAGCACCAGTAGCCTGTCTCACTGAAATCCCTTCCTACAACTATGGATGGCTTCAAGCATGCAAACCCCAGAGCTGGAAGAACAAAGCAAAGATACTCAAGATCGCTTCAGGTTATCCCTTATGAATCCTTGAAGAATGTTCACACAGTTGTGCTTCTCAGAGAGCAAGTTCCAGTTCCTACCTCCATTGCCTCTACACATAAGCTGGAACAGGTTACTGCATTACACCTTGCAGATTTGCTTTTGCATGACAATGCCAGCAGTCTCATTTCACATTAGAGACCTGCCAAGCTTTACCAATGACCCTCCTAGAAGATATTTGTTTTAAATTTACTTTGCAAATACATCCGGTCTTTTATAGCTTTTAAGACCATGTTTTCCTTATGATGTCCCATAATAAATCTACCTGTGGCATCAGTATTGATGCCACAGTAAGCACCTAATGTACGCTGCACACATTTGCCATACGATGAATCAAAATGACAGATCTTCCTCTTTTCCCTCTCCATATGTTTTAATCCCCAAAAGGAGGGATTTGTGGCATCTTGAGAACACTACAGATGATATTAAAGCAGAATTGTTTATAGGAGCACACGATGTGTGACAAGATCAGCCCTGAGGAGAAAGATTTGGGGGTGTTGGTTGACAAGAAGCTCAACATGACCCAGCCATGGGCACTCACAGCCCAGAGAGCCAAACGTGTCCTGGGCTGCATCCAAAGCAGAGGGGCCAACAGGCCAAGGGAGGGGATTCTGCCCCTCTGCTCTGGTGAGACCCCACCTGCAGTGTTGCATCCCCAACATAAGGACATGGAGCAAGTCCAGAGGAGGGCCACAAAGATTCCCAAAGAGCTGGACCACCTCTCCTATGGAGACAGGCTGAGAGACCTTGCAGCAGCCTTCCAGTACCTAAGGGGGGCCTACAAAAGAGCTGGAGAGGAACTGTTTACAAGGGCATGTAGTGGTAGGACAAGGGGGAATGGCTTCAAATTGGGAGTGTATTTAGCTTAGACATCAGGAACAACTTCTTTACTGTGAGGGTGATGAGGTACTAGAACAGGCTGTCCAAAGAAGCTGTGGATGCTCCATCCCTGGAAGTGTTCAATACCAGGTTGAATGGCATACTTTGAGCAATGCTTTGAGCAACCTGGTCTAGTGGAAGGTGTCTGCCCATGGAACTAGACCATCTCTAAGGTCCCTTCCAACATAAACCATTCTACAGTGCTTTCGTTCAATGATCACTGGAATGCCAAAGACTTAACTTAAAAAGTAATAGAGCATTACTACTAGTACTACTTTGACCAGTAGTTGCTTTTCATAATTTTTCTCTATTTAGGAACACAAAGAAGTAACGCACACCCCTCCCAAAAAAAACCAACCAATACCAACCCTCACCCTCCCAACAACAACAACAACAAAAAAACCACACACACACACAAAAAAATCACAGTGCAAAACTATGAGCAACCATTAAAAACTTCAATTGTTCTATAAGGCAATCCTATAGATCTAGTCAAATATAAAAGTTAAGATTTTAGGCCTTTGAGAAATATTTCATAGGATAGAATCACAGGATAAGTCAGGCTGAATGGATCTATGGAGATCTCTAGTTGCAAAGCAGGGTCCAGCTCCGGGGTCAGACCCAGCTCAGAGCTTTATCCAGTAGGGTCTCCAAACCCTCAAACACAGAGATCACACAAATACCCTGGCCAGCCTGTCCCACTTCTTGGCTGTCAAGAGCTTTTCCTTGTATCCCATGTGAACCTCTGGTCTTTCAATTTAAGCCTGTTGTCCCTTGTCCTCCTGCCACGTACCACCTTTCTTCTTGAAAAATCTCCTCAGAGATGCAATTTTCCTTAAGGCATTCTCTTCTCAGTGCATTCTTGATCCTTATCTTCTCTTTAAAAAATGTAATATAAAATTTACCATTCTAAAAAGTACTCTTGAAATATAAAATGGTTTACTGCAAAACTGACTTAGAGCTTTCAGTCTAAAGACAAGCTTAGGAATTCTCCTCCCCCTCTCACCAAGTACAGTCAAACACCAAACATTTCAACTTAGTTTTGTACTGATCAGAATATCATATTTGGAGCTATAAAAATACTGAAATAAAACAAGGAAGCATGTTTACCGACCCTGTCCAAAACTACAAATTAATTGCAGTGTGGAGGTATGACAACACGCAAAATGTATGGAGACCCCGTGAAAAAACTATTCAACCCTTTATAAAAACTAATAAAATTATTCAAACCCTTTATAGCTGTTATTTTTATCTTACCTGACAAGATCTACCACAGTATTTAGCAACCTTGCACTGAGAGCACCTGTGCAGTTTTCCATTTCTGTTTAGAAAGAAAAAAAAAACAAAAAAGAAAGAGTTATAAATACAGATTGAGTTTTGTATTTATCCTTCTTATCTAACTAGAAATTTCCAAATAGTCCAAGTCACAAAAAAATCTTAAAAACAAAAATAGTCTAAAATTCTCTGTAATACAAGAAAAAATTGTACCTAGTTATGTCAATGCTATAGTCACAATACTTTACTTGTGTCACTCAGCACCTCTGGGGCCACTTTGGATCAACAGGAAAATTATCAAATGTGCTTTTGTGATGTAGCCGTAATTCTGAGGAGTTTGATTTTGTAGATAACATCATAATTAGAGCTGTGCAATACAGCTAGCTAATCTATTTACTATCTGAGTCTTGTCTTAAGCAAGCAAGCATTACTATCTGTCTTAAACAAGACCTTGCTGTGAAACTATGGCTGTGATATCAAATTTTATCTTTATAACACAGTCCGAAGTTGACATGCCGGCAGAAATTTCTATTCTAAGAAAACACTTTTGATCAGTAGACAATGAGAACAAAATAAAAATTCATGGGGGAAGTATAAAAATCCAATGAAAACTAGAAGGAGAACTACCAGACCTATACATTACAATCTGAAGGCTAAAAGCACCTCCTAACTTTAGTACTGTTTTCTGATACTGTCTTAATTCAGTTATATGACTTAAGAAAATACTCCCATCTGATGGGATGAAAAGATACAATATTCTGTCTCTGCTGTCACCAAAAGAAAACTCCTCTGATGCTGTCAGTCATCTAGAGACTGTATACCATGTAGTCAGATTCCCAGACCAGCTGCTTTACAACATGACCTTCTTTTACTTACACCATTCAGTTGTTCCCAAATCCTAATTTCTTTGGGTAACTTCAAAAAGATAGGACACTATCCAAAGGCCACATGCAAAACAGACAACCAACAGGCCCACAAACTTCAATCTAGAACTTCTGGATAAACAATGTAGCCCACTTCTATCAGCTATGATGCCAAAACTGAAGGGTAGGGGCACACCAGAAATACCATGGAGCATCCTCTAGCAAAAACCAACCTCTCCTTTCCCTCAAGTCCCACAAGTGAGAAAGTATTTTGCTGATATATCAACGTTTTACTATGTTTGAATTATTAAAAATAAGAGCCGATCTTAGGGCTCTTACAGGCATTTGGGGAGTTTAGACAGCTGCACTGGTCAAAGATTGAGAAGACAATTATGAATAGATCATTACATTCAAGTAAAAATCTTTTCATTTGTAGTGCATAAAAATCCCTATTTTGTCATACAATATTTTTTCGATATTCATAGTAATCACCAGGAGAAAAGTAATTTATAAATATTTCAGATATAAGTAGATGTTTTCCTACAGCATTCTTTACCTTTCTACTTGAAAAGCCAGCCCTGGAGGCAGAAAAAAACAGCAACTGTTGGATTTCTATAAACAGAATCTAAAATCTTGTCCATGCACAATAGGTGTTTGACTTTAAGGTGCAATGCCTGAGGATGATTCAGAGCTAGAAACAAGTGTGAAATCTTCATTTTGCCAGCTGGGCAGAGCTGCTTCGTCTTTAAGGCTGAGCAATGACACAACCTTAACCACGTTCTGATAGACAAGGATATATTTCTCAATTTAGATTAGAAGCTCATGTCAGAGTAACCTAGAACAAAAAGAGACAGCCAAGCAGGTAGAACTTGGTTTGATCTTCAGCTCCCCATATGCACGGCCACAGCTCTCGATATAATCACTCTGTGGCATGTCCCTGTTGCCTTTAACAAATCTGTTTTACCTGGCTGTAGACTCTCATAAGTCATAAGAACCTTCTGGCCTCTGTCTCTAAATACCTCCTTTGTATTCAATATTCTACACTCTTACCAGCAGCCTCTATGAAACCTCTTTATTGTTACACAGCATTAGCTGAATGTCTGAGTGCTCACTCTTCTACTGAATGACTGAGCAAAAACACTTTGAAGGCGACTTTGTTTGTTCTACAGGTTATTCATCAAAACACAATAATGAGTTCAGAGTTGGATAACGGAGCACATGCAATTTTAGTCCCAAACACAGCAAAGTACCACATAGTCCCAGAAGCAACAGCTAAGATGCAGATTTCCAAAGCAGAGTTAATTAAAACTTTCTGGAAGCTGAATTTAAATGAATCAATACCCACAACAGTCAGAGAAGTCTTTCCTACAGTTTTTACATTCTTCCATGAGAAGGCTAGATGCAATAACCTTAATACACTGCAAGCATACCTGGCCTTGGTATATCTGTTGGCAATTTTCCAAGAGATGCCAGGATTTACTGGAATCATTAGTGTCAAGTCACCAACATGTATTCCATCTTTCTTTTGTAACACAGCTAGCAGACGTGTTGCCACAAAGCACCAGATTCCCTCAGCAACCTCAGAAGTTTCAAAACGTTACATTAATATTTCCTTTGTATCCTTTGTCCCCAAGGGTTAATGATGCTGCAGTAACAAACACATACACAAAAATCTAAGGATCATCACTCAAAACTGGAATTTTTGTCAAACTGACATTATCAGTCAGATTATTTGAATAAGGTGACTCCCTTCTGGTGTCATTTAATGAATGAATTATCCATTCATCTCAGAGGTTTCTTTGAATGATAAGGAGATGTAAAATGCTTTTCAGAGAGCTGAATAGTAAAGCTGCTAAGGAAATCATTGCTTTCTCTTCCAATCCTTCTTCCCCCTCCTGGACTAAAAAAAAACTCCATTGTATTTATAACAACTCTGGATTGTGCTACCTGGCATACTAAGTGTAAAACAGCATGATCTAAAGCACTTTATAGTCAGATTCACATATTCATATATAGAGGATTTGTGTATTTTAGAACATTTTAAGAAGTAAGGAAATTTCCCTGGTTTATTTCAGTCCCTCTCAATATTTTATTGATGTCATAGGCTTTATTCAAGGAATTTTAAAGTCACTGTCAGATACTCCCATGCATTTCTTATTACCTTTAAACTTTACCTGGAGATAGTAGCAGGTCCCTTACAAGGTACCTACTGCATCTCACCTAATGTGACTGATTTCATGGACGAGAAAACGCACAAAACTTGTTCTAATGGATTCAGTTATACTTTAATCTCTAAAAAGGTTTCTGCTGCAACAAAAAAAAAAGGAAAGATGCAGTAATTACAAATAAATTATTAATTTTCCAACATAGTATAAACAATATTTTGCAAATGACCACAACGCCTTATGAAACAACAAGCACCAGTGAGCATCTTAGCCTGTACTAAAACAAATAGCCAAAAACAACAACAAAGACCAAAATGCACATCCATAAGGTAAGCAGGGGTTGTAAGTTGACCTCTAGCATAGTATTATGGTCAGGTTAAGAATCTTCCCTCTAAGGAATTTGGTTATTGCTAAATCTTGTCATCATTGTGGTCTGCAAACACGGTTCATAGAATTAGCTCCTCCAATGTGTACTGAGAAGGCAAAAACCCAATCCCAAATGTAGAGGTGGGTATAAGAATTTCTAAGAGATTGATATGAACAGGAAACAAAAAAAACCTTATGAAACAGGGAAAAAACAAGACAGACAGCTCGACTGGAATTGCCCCAGTGGGCATACCCTACCCAGAATTTTTTTTTGTTTTGTTTTGGGTTTTTTTGTTGTTGTTTTTTAACACATGTTTAAAATCTTAAGAAGAAGGTGAAGACATTAACAAGGGTTTGCCTGGACTATCAGGTCCTATCAGAGCCACACCTGCACTCTCGTAACTTAAAAAAAACCATGCACTTTTAAATATATCACATGATAACTTCTTGCCAGGAAATGGCCTAATAAAATTTCATATAACACAACAAAAGTCAACCAAATACAATTAGGCTACTTAATTTATAATGGAAATGCATCTACACTTCTCTGCTGATTGCAGGCACTTGACTTTCAGCCCTCCTCACAAGATAAGTGTCAGATATAATAGAACTGATTACCAGAAAGCATTCAACATGCCTTTCTATGTAGTTTATTCACACTTCTACTTCTGCCATATCTTGCAGGAAAACAGGACTATCTCACACAAATCCCCTCCTGCATTTTTGTTGTTGATATTGTTTTCCAGTTAATTATCCTGCCCTGTATATGTGAGTGAAAAGAGCAGCTCTTTCCAATGCGTGTCAAGTTGAACTAATTTCCTGAACAAATTCTTAGACCTTTGCAATTCAGTCAAGCCTGTCAAATGCATAAAGTCTACTTGGATTTTCTCAAGTATGTGCATTTCAGACCTGTCACAAAGTGAAAGCAATCAATACCTACAGTAAGCAAAGAAGTCATTCATCATTTTAACTAATATGCCTCTGTCTTCTAATAATAAAAATAAAGTTGTGAAGAGCGAACAGCCATCTTACATTTGGTAGATTTGAGAGCACCAGGGGTTATGTTAAATGCAATTACAGCTTTCTCTCCACACCTCTCTCCCAGTGATGAGGTGTAGCAACACAGCTGGTCCCTAGCTGTTACCCCACTGCTGACTCACCTGGGCACCAGGCACTGTGGGGAAGATGGCTCTGGGGACAAGATGAACAGTGCTGAGGACCAGGCAGCACAACCCTGGGGCATATACATCTACAACATCCCAAATCCAAGCCCTGGGCAAGCAACAACTCTGCAGCCAGTGAGCTGTGCCCACAGGTGGGGTTCCCAGCCCTCTGGTGCCCTGAGTGCTGACTTGGCTTTCCCTTTGCCAGGAGCCTGGACGTGCTGTGCAGTCTCGGAGGAGTTGGCAGAGAAGACACCTTCCATAAGCCCCAAGGTCACAGCCTCTGAAATAAGGCTGCCAGGCTTTTCTGCCCCAAGGTTACTCTGTGCACTGCTCCCAGGTCCCAAACTGGATCTGGGCAAACAAGAGTACACCAGGTAAGGAGCCTTTGAATTCCCTGCTCCTAAAAGTAATGAAAAAATCCCCATATTCTCCACTTGCACATTTCATTGTGTTAAGTATACAAAATATTTTTTTACCTCAGAGCAG